CCTACATGGAAAAGAGATGCCAGATGTTCAAGCTGGCTTGAGAAAAGGCCAAGGAACATGAGACATTATTGCGGATGCAGACTAGATAATTGAGAAAGCCAAAGAAAACCCAAAAGAAGTCAGTATGTGCTTCTTTGATTATGGGAAGGCCTTTGATTGTATTGATCATGTCAAGCTGTGGAATGTGCTTAGAGAAATGGGAATCCCAGAACATCTCATTCTCTTCATGAGAAAGTTAGGTCAGGAAGACATAGTACAACAGAACATGGCGGAACAGACTGGCTCCAGGTTGGCAAACAAGTGCGACAAGTCTGTCCCCTTATTTGTTCAATCTATGTGCTGAATATGTATTAAGGGAAGCACACGTACACATACATTCACACATGGAACTTTTGCTGTGGTGGCCCCCCATTTATGGAATGCCCTTCCCAGAGAGGCTCAACTGGTGCTCACATGAGCATCATTTTGGTGCCAGGTGAGGTCCTTTCTATTTTCCCAGGCTGCCCATCTCAAAATTCATGACTCTGGGCGGATAACAATTACAAACTATATAAAACCGTAGTACAATATAAAAAACAGCAGAGATACAATCAGCAGTGGAGGTAAAAAGATCCACCAGCAACAGAGTAATGCAACCACCGCATGGATTCTGGATCCCCAAGCCCGTGACAAAACCATCTCTTTAAGGCCTTGCAAAAAGCAAGCAGGGTTGGGGCCAATCTAATCTCTGAGGGGATGATGTTCCAAAGTGGGGGGCACCATGACAGAAAAGGGTCTCTTCCTGAGCACCACCAGATGGCATTCCCTGATGGATGGGACTCTCCCTGATGGACGATGATTCTCCTGCTGGACCTGATGGGAGAGGTAGGCATAACTGGGGAGAGCCGGTCCTTCAAATAACCTGGCCCCATGCCATGTAGGACTTTATAGGTCACTACCAGCACCTCATTGGACCCCGAAGCACAATGGCAACCAATGCAATTCACAGAGCAAAGGTGCCACATGCCCCAAACGAGAGGCACCCATAACTGCCTGCGCCATTTTGGAATTTGAATGACTTCTCGCTGCTGTCTATTTTGTAAGCTGTTTTCATTTTGCATTTCAGTTCATGTTATTGTGTATGTTTTATTCAAATTACATTTTTCTAACTGTTTTATTGCAAACTACCCAGAGAACTTCAACTATTGGGTGGTTTAAATTTTTTTAACTCAGTAAATAAATTACGTATACACACACACAGACTATATATGCCTCCAAAAGAGGGAACTTGCATTCCTTTTGAGCAAATATAGTATTTTCCCTGCAATTGCTGTTGTTGGGAATATAGTAAAGGCATCTTCCTATCTAATTTATACTTGCCCTCCGCAGTTAGCAATGTTCTAGGATTTCAAGATGACTGCTTTTCCATTCCTAATATTTCCTGAATTAATCACAGAGATAGATCTACCCAATCAAAGATCATGTAATGAATTCACAAAGCTATGTCAGATTTAATATTAATGGGCATCAATAACAAAAAATCTTGTGGGTTAATATAAGGAATCAGATTTAACTAGCCCTTGATGTCACTGAGAACAAGTTAGGACAAGTTTTTGCAACTGTTAAATGTATGTTATATCATGTCAATTCAGCTTGAATTATTGCGTGGTTTCAGTTCATTTTGGAAGTTCTAATAAGACTATTTTTCCTTCAGCTTATCGGGGTGTCCAAGAGCTACTTTTGCTGGAAAAAAAGGGAAAATCTCAGGGGATGATATTCTCAACACTAAATTCAAGACCAGCGATGGTAAAATAATGTGATTTATTATTTGGCAAGTTTTGCAATTTAGGGGTAAAGCAATTAACATTGCTTTAAACATTGTATATATTCACACCATTAATATTATTGACTGACCAAGATGACGTATACAGATTGTATTAGAACTACCTAAATTATTTGCTTAAAAATTACACTACAATTTCAGCATAATATTTCTTGCACTTTGGAGGTCCCTCACAGTGACGAACAGATCCTGCTTCTCTTTGTAGTCTCTCTAATATCTTAACAAAGTGGATGAACTTCCAAAGGAGGTTTTGTTCAAAAAATCTAGTGTAGATGCCATTATTTCTGGTAATGATTACCTAGTGTCCAATGTAATCTGCTGGGGCTAATCAGTTTAATTTGTTGTCTCTTATGATGGCCTCATAATTCCCAATAACAAATCGGGGGATGCTGATTATTTGAACACATCCAGGGCTCGGTTTGAAATTTTATTTATTTATTTATTTATATGTATATATGTATATATGTATATATACATAAATAAATATATATGTATATATATGTATATATATGTATATATATAAAATTTGTCACCGCCCATCTCGTTGAAATGACTCTGGGTGGTTTACGGCAGAGATAAAATCAGTTAAAATACAATATAAAAACCATCTTAATAATCAATAAATTCCAAGAAAGATGGAGGATTGATGAATAACTCAGGGAGCGTCATCAGGGCGCCAGCCACCCTCAGGACTGATTACAGCTCTTCTTGCCCCACTGAAATTGGCAGAGCCAGGTCTTTAATCCTTTCTGGAAAGCCGGGAGGGTAGGGGCCTGCCGCATCTTTGGGGAGAGAATATTCCAAAGGGCGGGGGCAACAGCAGAGAAGGCTCTTCACATGTTGTTATTGTCACCAAGATGATTGTAGTTTTATTCCACCATTGTGTCCTAAAGTTCTAGAGAACGATGAAGAAATCAAACAGTTAAACAAAGAAATCAGCGAGCTGAATGAATCCAACACTGAGATGGAAGCAGCCATGGTGAAACTGCAGTCACAGGTATGTTAGCGTGTTGTTGTTATGAAAGCTGTCATCCAAAGCAGGAATGTCCTAATTCCTAGGTCAAAGTCATCTCATTTTTCTTGCTGAACTCTCCCCTGCGCACTGCTTCCACGTTGCAAAACACTGGGGGAAATGCATTGCAGCTCTTCACACTTTGTAACCCTGTAGGAAATGGTGGTTCAAGGTACCAAACCATTCCCAGTGCATTGCTTTTCTTTTTCCTCAACCAATTTATGGGAATGAGGACATTTAACATGGGTTTAAGCCCCCTATTTAAGCCAGTGGTAACATCTGACATTTTGAAGAGGTGACCTCTGCCATAACACCAGCCTTTTCTATTGACCAATCACTTCCAATGCACTTTTAAAATACCCCAGCCATTTTCCACCTTATATCCTCACTCTTTGCAGATCTCAAGAGATTTTAGCATGGCATTATCCATGTGCTTGTGAGTCTGGAGCATGTAGAAAATGCCTTCAATTAATTGTTGTTCACAATTTATCAGTAGCTGAGGAGAATCTCAGCCAGTCAGTGCTTGTTCTTCTCTTTCAAGCTAACCAATTGTTGAGTGTCTTTTGCTAAAGTTTTTCTTAACCTGTGAAACTTTTCATCACCCTTCATTTCTATGTTCCTCCATCCCCGCAAGGGCATTATCCATTCATCTGGCAAATGAATTTGCATGCATTTATTGGGAAATTTGCAAAACATATATCTGGATATGGCAGTTGCAAAGGAAGATTGTTAAAAATATTAACAAGTGCATTCAAAAGCATTCCATTCACCCTGTAAAGGCAGTGTTTGGCCAATCCCTGTGGGAATAAATCAACACAAGTACAAATCCCAGATTTATTTCATTTCTGAAGCAAAACCAAAAAAGACAAATGGCTTTTTGGAGGGGGGTGAAGAAACTTCTGGAAACCAACTTTACAGTAGAATTGCCTCAGATTCGCAGTCATGCAATCAATAGCATTACACATCAACCAAATCTCAGGATACAACCAGTGCGTGGTGGACCTCCATGGCTTTGTCTATTTGCAGTTTGGTTGCTGGAATTGTCTTTACCCGTCTGATATGACTTTGACTGGACACGTTGGCATCCTTCAAAATGAAGCCCTGGGCTGTAGCCAGGCATTATTTTTATTTCCTAAGAATGCCTCTATCAGGTTTCTATTATTATTATTATTATTATTATTATTATTATTACTGATGTTGGACTGTGTATTGCATGGATATTTTTATTGGTATCATTGTCTATATAGCTTTTGTAAACTTTTTTGTAAGCTCTTGATTTTGATCAAAGCAACATAGAATTATTTGTAATATGCAAATAATAACTATCTCAGCAGCCTCTCAGGACTATCAGGAGTTCAGCCACTTGGAAGGGTGGGAAGAAAAAGCCTGAAGTTTAAACTCTAAGCACAGACCCTGTGGCTCTCCACAGGTACATAAAGAGGTCCTGAATTCTTTGATGCACTTTGATGAAACTCAGTCATCTGTTGTGGTTAAGGGTCTCTTCAGCCAAGTCAAACCAAATGCTGAATAAGAGGTGATGTGTCTGAAAATCTGCAATTTACTGCTAAGCTTTGGTGTTGTCAGGGCTGAGCATGAGAGATGGGAACCATGGTTCCCAGACTAAAGAAAACCATTATATAAATTGATCTCAGGTACTGCTCAAGGCCATCAAGACATGGGCCAATGGTGGGAAGAAAAAATAGCTGAAAGGGAGGGGGAAAAACTAGAAGGTTTAAACTCTAGAGCAGTGTTTCTCAACTGTGGAAGCTTGAAGATGTGTGGACTTCAACTCCCATGCTGGCTGGGGAATTCTGGGAGTTGAAGTCCACACATCTTCAAGCTGCCACGGTTGAGAAACACTGCTCTAGAGCATTCATGGAGCTTTCAAAAGCTACTGGCCATTTCCCTTGTAACCCTTGTTCTTTTAATCCTGCAGATCTCCAGCATGGAGAAAAACCTCAAGAACATTGAGGAGGAGAACAAGATGATAGAGGAGCAGAATGAAGCCCTCTTCCTTGAGCTCTCAGGGCTGAGCCAGACTCTTATCCAAAGTCTTGCCAATATCCGCCTTCCACACATGGTAAGGATGAGCCTTGTGAACTCAGCCTCTGTCTGTGTGATAATATCCCAGTTTCTATAAGCATCATCGTAAGAGGTTTTGCATATCATCAAGAAGTAGAAGAGAAGAAGCCTCTGAATCATTGATTCATTCTCTTTTACATTTCATAATGTTCAATATGAAAAAGCACCATTATGAGTAAGCTGCTATGTCATAACAAGACACAATAGAGGCGAAGCAAAGATGTGGAAAGCACTGTCCAGTCACAGCCACTAGCATTAGAGCCATATCTCTGCACTGGAATATGTGAAAGTTAATCTCATAGAAAGCTGAGGTCCAGCAGAAGCACCAGCAGTATCATGTCAGACCCATTGTTCAACCCACCCAACCCCCATTCATTTTTTTGCTTTAAAAAGAATCTAGCCATGTGATGAGGGATTAGGGCACCCTACAAGGTAGTCCAAACCTTGCACAAACCTTGAATACTAACACTGCCTTTACTGTAAGTTTACAGAAACCGAATCTTGCAAGTCTGAAAGCCCTTCTCCCCCCACCCCCTTGCCTTTGCTCTCCAGAAAACTAGGAGGGTCCCTTCTGAGACACTTCCCACACCTCTTTTCTTTGTGTGGGCTGAGATAACTTTTGCATGACAGTTATCTAGGCTATGGCTCTTCCTCCTGTCTCCCAATGTCATTCCAACATACCATTACAGATTACGGGAAATTAAAGTAGCATCTGCTATCCAGCATACAGCTGCCACTATGGGTCCCACTTGGATCTATCAATTCTATGAGTGATGCACCAAAAAAATAAGAGCATCCACTGGCTCTAAAGCTAGTTCAGCCATATAATCCATAATCGCTATTGTTGTTTAGATTCAGATTTATATCCCAGGAGTATCAGATTCAAGCTGCAAAAATCTAGATGATGACTCCATGGCAGCAAAGAGGTAATCAGATTTTGACAGACAAGATCTGGTGGTCTTACTGCCCCAAGACCAAATAGTCTCACCTTGTAATGTTATGTGGGAAAGATCTTGAAAGACTGGGTGAAGAGATGCTGCCTAGGGAATGGTCAGATAAGAGACAGCATAGCCTACAGCTGCATAGTAGGTGGGGCAAGAGGCTAAGAAGGGACCCTCCCTAGTTTTTCAGACTGTAAAGGAGATGGAGAGAGATTTGTACTTTCAGACTTGCGAGATTCTGTTAATGTCACCTTACACTAAAGTAAAATTAGTTTATCTGGACATGTTTCCTGTCCAGTCCTGGTTCCTGGTAAGGCTGACACGCCTATTGAACTTCCTTCTGTCAAGCTCAAAAGGATTCTGAGCCTTAGACAGTTTCTTAAAAACATTATATTTCATTCTTTTTAGCAGGAGGGTTTCTCATTTGATTTTCATGTCACATCATTTCTAATTTTTGTCATGATTAGGGGGCCTCAAATGTAGGAAATTGTCCGAGTCTGTTTTAGTGGGTCTGTGTTCCTCCATTTTTATCAACAACCACCCAATATGATAAGTTAGGCTGAGATAGCAAAACTAGCCCAAAGTCACCCTACAAGATTCCATGGCTGAGAATGGATTTGAATGAAACAAATACATGACAGAATGCACAATATGGGCATAAAAGCATTTTTCCATGAAATAAAGTAACTGCATTTTCCTTTCATATATATGTCTTCTTCATAACACCGACGAAGCAACTTCACTAGGGATCTCAGTTTTATTGATTTCATGTTGCAGTGCTTCGTTTCTCACAAGTTTGGAACTGGTCTTTTAAAATTTATTTTATTTATGTAACTTAATGGTGGCACTGCCTGACTCTGGGCAGCTCACGTTATAAAACAGAAAACAGATATAATATGAATAAACAGTAGAATAAGAGAAATAACACAATGGCAGTCTGGACAACATTAACACAAAAGAAATATCAATCATCTCTAAGAATTGGGGTCCTATGGACTCTACCCCCAGGTTTGAGAGAACAGCTAAGTCTTTAAGGCTTCCTGGAACATCGGCAGGGTGGAAGCTAGATTTCAAGAAGGACCTCATTCCAGAGGGCAGGCACTGTGACAAAAAAAGTGTGCTTCCTGGGTCCCAAAATAATGGCACTGTTTGATTAAGGCAGTGTTTCTCAACCTTGGCAGCTTTAAGATGTGTGGACTTCAACTCCCAGAATTCCCCAGCCAGCCATGCTGGCTGGGGAATTCTGGGAGTTGAAGTCCACACATCTTAAAGTTGTCAAGGTTGAGAAACACTGGATTAAGAGGACCAAATTATGTTAGCCTTGTATCTTACCTCTGTCCTTTCTGATGAATCTCTTTCTAGGACATTTCAGTTAGGCCCTGATGATCTGCATCCTAAAGGAGATCCCTTGGAAACAGCAGCGCTTAAGTTAACCCTGACCTAGATCTTTTCTAAAAGCCCTAAGTCTGGATTCCACTCTCCTGTTAAAGGATCCAATACAACTTGCCTAAATATGCCGTCCAATTGCTCACTTCCACACATAGTGCCCTCCTTGTATTCTGGAGGCTTTCAAAAGAGCCTTTTAACGTGGAATTATCAATGCCTCTTTTATGCAGTTGTAAGGGTGCCTGAAAAACACTGTAAGCCGTTTGTAAACTTCCCGTATTCTCCCCCCATTCTTCTTTTTTCTCATCACAGTAAGCCATTAAAGGTAACAAAGGGCCCAAGAAGAACATAGTCTCTTTGCAGGTGTGGGTAGGAAAATGCACTACTGATGCATGCTGGGAAGAACTGTATCCAGGGAACATGGATGTCGTCCTTTCTATATTTTTTGCTCTGCATTTCTCATTTTGGTTCTGTTTTCTTTTTTCATGGCAAATCCTGATCTACTGGCTGCCAGCCTTAATTAATTCCCGTCTGGAGAGAGAGGTTTCATCAACCAACGTGGTTCAATTAGCCATCAAATTAGTGCATTAGAAACTGAAATGCTTATTTCCAAATACAGATGTGAATGTTCTGGCTATATACTTTTTTGGGAGTAAACCAGTGTAAACCATGACTCCTGTGTTGTCCTTTAAAAAAAGGCACTAAAATAAACCAGCATAACTATTTGTAGCTCTTTTTAGGTAGTCCTGGTTTATTTACAGCATCAGGTCCCCAGAAACTATCCCCCAAGGGGATTATGGCCCCAGCAGTTTCTTGTCCACTTCATGTCCAAAGTCCTTCCAAAAAACTTGCTGGGGACTCTCCAATCAATCTAAGGAGCATAATGCTCTCCTCACCCCCATCTAATAAAAATCAAGATCAGCTTGAATGGATAATAGCTTTTTTTCTTACTTGCACAGAACCAGAAGAAAAAAACACCTCTCCTTTACTACTTCCATTAAAACAGTAACCATGCCAGTCTACATCAGAGTTACACAGACACAAGAATAACTTTACACTAGGTACAACTACAGTGGGCTAGAATCTTGATATTTAGGCTTACTCGTTGTCTGATTCACCTTCCTTAAATGGGCAGGGCATTTTCATCCAGATGGCACGTACACAACCTAGTCCAACCTTTCCCTTGGATGCTCAGCTGCAATTGCATCGCCAAGAGTCTCACTTCCAGCACCTTGAACTGTCTTGGATCTTCTCGATGGCTCCTAGATCCAATCAGTTCTTTGGCTGTGCTAATCCTGATCTGCTCCTCCAGTCATCACATTCTGGGTGCTCCTCCTTCTCCTGGCCCCAATTCTCACCAGTTGGTGCATTAGATGATTCCTTTCAGTGGTAGAACTGGCTGGCCAATCCACCTTGAACCCAGGCTGCAGGCAGGCATCCAGCACAACACATACATAAGCAGAGCAGAGCAAAAACCAGATGTACACTCCCTTTACCTGTATTAAGGAGTGATATTTCTGTCACCTGCCCTAACTCAGTGTTTCCCAAACTGAATAACTTCAAGTTGTATGGTGCTCCCATAGTGCTTAGCAATGGCCTTGCTGGCTGGGGAACTCTGGAGTTCAGACCTCTCAGTGTTGCAAAGGTTAGGAAACACTGCAACTGGAATGCTACACCTCCCTTTTGTCTTCTTAAGCTGCCTCTTGCTCAAGAGCATTCTTTCTCTCACTTTAAACTTTGCTGAAATCTTTTTCTTTACATCTCTGACTCCTTGATATCTGCTCAGGTTACTTCACGGAGCTAACCCCTTCTCTTTCTTTCTCTTAGCCATTGCTGCAAGCTTGGTCTCTCTGGATCAAAGCAGAGTCCCTAGATCTGGTCCTTACTCTTCAGTTCCTCTTTGTATAGCTCCTCTTTGTAGAACTCCATACCTTTTATATCTTTTCAAAGCTCTCACGTTTTGCTTCTTCCTCTCACTTCTTCAAGATGACCTCTCCCTCCCTCTCCTTGAAGGCTTCTCTTTGTCTGCTAAGGAGCTCCTTTTCTTGACCTAATAAGCTTATTTCTCTTCCTCGTGTTGCTTTACCTTACATCTGAGGCCACTTTCCTACATCCTGCTAATTACAAACCCTGGGCACTGAGATTCTTAGCACCCAAGTTACTTCCTTGCTCTTTATGGCAACTCTCTCAATTTGCATCAGTTTCACTTATTTCTCCAACTTGACTGCAATCCCCCAGATTACATAAGAAGTAGGGGAAATGAAAATGTTCTAGCCTGGGTGTGAAATAGACTAGAATGATTCACAAAACCATCCAGTTGTGAAGTAAATTAGACCATCTGGCTTGTAGCCAGATTTAATTGCAAAGAAGCTTAGTTGCCATAGAGTAAAACCAGCTATCCTGGAGGCTCTAACCATCCTATTCAGGAAAATGAGTGATAGGCAATCCAGCAACTCCAAAAAGTGGATTTTGTCATCTAGCCCAATCCTGCTTTAATGGGGGCATCCCCTCTGGTCTCTATGATTAATTTTTGTAAACCATCCTACCCAAAACTGCCTTCCCAACCCTCTTTTTCTAAATGAAACATGAAGCACCTTGATGATGATGCAACCCTTCATCTGCCTAACTTTTGAAGAGCAGGTACCTTCAAAAAGTATACAGCCTATTAAACGTTTTAACAGGTAACATTCAAAATCTAGAGTTCAGCAATAAAAGAAAGTCTAACAAGACTGACCATTGAATTTGCACTTTCAGAAAAATAGGGAATTTGCCATTCTGTCTCAATGTCTGGCATTTATTGTTCAATGGGAGAACAATTGTTTTTCTTTTCTGTATTTTTCTATTGATCTTCTGTGCTGTCTCTCATTAGACCTCATAGTCCAACTGAAAAGAAAACGATAAAAGCTTTATCAAGAGTATACACTGAGTATACTTGATCAAGAGTATACATCCTAGCTACACAAGCTAGGACAGGATTCAAATTTAACAGATGTTGCAGTTCCCATTATAACTCAGGAAATCTCCATTTTGACCTGAATAACTGTCACCTAAGCAATCATGGCCATAAAGAGAGTATATTATGTTTAACTTAACAGGTCTACCAGTATCCAGCTGCCAAATTATGGCTGTGGATTTTTTCTAAGCTTCATTGAAGTAGAACAACTGAAAACCAGTATTAATTACCTTCTCTACGTTCAGGAAGTTAATTCTATCCTGTGGCATGCAATCATTAGTCAGGCACAATTGATGTGTTGGGTGACACCAGAGGCAGACAGAAAAGGAAATTGCAGGTCAATCTGAAATGTTTAACAGCAGCCCACCCTGATGAGTTAGTAGAACTTCCTTCATAGTAAATGTCCTCAACAATAAGTAACATTGCAAAACTCCTCTTCTTTATGTATGTCAGGATTTTCATTCTCATGGGAATGACGACAATGTATTCATGTCATGCGTGAATACTGCTAACGGAGGAGAGAATTCAGAAGGAAAATGGTGCAGGTCAGTGAATGCAAGTTTTGCATTCACCTGATATTAGCCCTAACTCTACTCTAGAACACCGTAGAATAGTCAGCTTTGGCATAGATCAGTGTTGTCCAAACTTGGCCACTTTAGGATGAGTGGACTTCAACTCCCAGAATTCCCC